GAGAGATTAGGGGTTATGGTTTAACTGATTTATTAATTGTTTAATTATAAATGAGGCCTATCTAGGCGATTCACATATCTTCTCGCGCTGAAACCTACTATTTCGGACTGGTGAGCACCGCGTGCTGTTCCTAGTGGCTATCCCGAGCCTAATAGTAATACTAATAGTATATAGTAATAATAGTTTTTAATACTAAATAGGCATAAATAGTATTACTAATAGTAATACTGTTAATTTAGTATTAGTATTATTAATACTATTAATAGGCCTATAGGTCTATATATAGGGTATATATATAGGGGGTTTCATCAAGGTTACAGCCCTATAGACTCGAAGGTCTGATAGTACCAAAGGGCCTGATAGATCGCGAAGGTTTATTCGAATATGGCAGTGCTACACGTCGCGGAATCGGTCGGCCAGCCTGCCAGGCTACGCATACGGACAAAATCCACTGATGCCGTAATTCGAACCGTGAATATGCCGCAGCATCCCACTGAGCACTATAAATCATCATGATGGCCACTATAAAACCAATATAATATGCCCTAACCTAACCTGACCTAAACCCTCGGCTAAAAACAGCACAAGTTCAGGGTTCTGACAAATATGTCCACACCAAATGTTGTTACCCATGGCAACGATGACTCCTGCCCCAACCAAAAACGATTGGCGTCTTGCTGTTATCCATAGACGCAAACCGTTGGCATGCTTGGCCCGAGTCACTGGCGAGCGCTTCAGTGTCAGCGCTTGTACCTTGACCATTGATCTATATTTCCTTCTGCTGCTGTCAATTCGGCCCTAATTTCCTAGGCGCTAACCAAACTTGGTAACTTACACATCTATGGGGGAAGAAGGTTGTGCAGAGTACGCCAAAACGAGGCACTGCGGGCTGCGACCTTTATTTCACCCTTTCCTTGACGCCTGATATATTTTCGCCATTCCGCTTCTCGCTACTAGCGCCTAATTGACCTACCGCGCGACCAAACTTGTATGCTTACCCATGCTGGGGAGAAGGTCCTGTCGCATACGGCAAAACCCACCGACTGCCCATTGACGCTGGTTTGAGCAGCTTGAAATTTATACAAACTTGTCAATCAATCTCACTGTACGTGATCGGTAGGCGGTAGTCTGACTAGTCATGCGCGATCACATGAAGATGGCAAGTTCCAAAAAAGCATATAAATAAATATAATCAATATAATCAATATGCCTAGTTGATTTATATGCTCAGACCATAGATATCATATTATATAACAACATATACATATACAACGTTATATATACATAACATATACAACGTTGTTATGCCTCTGGTTCCAAATTCCAAACTGCATGCAGCGCCCCACTCACAGGCCCCACTCCGTAGCGGAGAGCGCCATCTGTCGTGGAGTTAGGGCCAGTTCCAAGTTGGGTTTTGCGTGCGCATGCGTAAAATTCTAAGGTCAGAGCATGTCAAAGCGTCATGGGAGTGGTGACCAATCACTGGACGCCAGTTGGTCAACATGGATGCGCCCATGAAACGGGTCGGTTTTTCTCTGATCTGTTATATTAATTATTATAATATTGCTCATGACAGTTAAGTCAGAAAATCATATTTAGTGGTCATCCTCCTGTTCCTACATCGCACATGTTCCTACAGCCGATTGTTTCTGTATTATTTAGTTTCGTTGTCGCATCTTCTATCGTTAATTTTGCCGATTAAACAAGCATTATTGTCAGGTAATCACACAGTGACGCTGCCGCAGCCAGGACTTCAGCATTTTGCGGCTAATCTGGTGCATACAGCCCCTCCTAAATCAATTAGAAATTGGGCGGATTTATTACTACTAGTACTAGTAGTAGTACTACTACTAGGGCTAGGTTTGTTTGTGGTGAATGCCATAGCTAAACAGGGAAAAAATGAATATAGCAAGCCAATTCGGCGCAAATCCACTTTAGGCACCTTAGGTATCACGAAGTGATGCACAGATTTCTGTGTATCATCAACTGATGCACAGATTTCTGTGTATCATCAACTGATGCACAGACTTTCCGTATATCAACTCAAGGAATGATGCAAAAACCTAGCCACAAGTTCCCATCTCGCTAATAACACTACGTGTCCTCCGCCGTGTAACAGTCGGAGAGCCTGGTCGGTTTAGCAAAAACCCTAACCCTAACCCTAAGTCATAAAGTATAACTTTCGCCTTAGGTATCACCATAGATATATACAACAGATATGTGTTGTATGTGTTGTATAGTATCACGAAGTGTGTTACTGTTAGGGTTAGGGTTAGGGTTTTTGCATCATTCTTTGATATACGGAAAGTCTGTGCATCAGTTGATGATACACAGAAATCTGGGCATCACTTCGTGATACCTAAGGTGCCTAAAGTGGATTTGCACCGCCAATTCTATACTATACATAGTTACCTGAGCCTTAACCCGACCAGGCTGTATGACTAACGTCAATATACAGCCTGCCATCCATCCATTGCAAAATCATGTACCTCTACAAAAACTACCAAACAATTTCAAATAAAATGCTCATCTTAGCATTTCTGCTTTGTTTTGTATCAAGTATAATTACCTTCACCTTATAGTATTCAAGTGTTGTTATTAAAACTAATACCTCAGTTCGCAGTGCACAGTGTAAGTTTCAAGAGCCGAACCGAAATTTCAACCAACCGCCAACCCCCATGTTTCCAATGCGCATGCTTTTCGATCGGAACGCGGAAAACCCGAAACGACATAACATACCATAGCGTTGCAATTAACTCACGTTGGCGCGAGCATAAATAAGCATCATATACTCGTATATATATAAATATTAAAACATTGAAAACCAGGAAACATCAATCTACAACAACGCGATCAATCTATTATCATTGCGAAGATATGTACTTGCCTTGTGTTTAGGCCTACCCACTGTGAAAATCAGGTTCATTGCTGATTTTAGTCGCGCTGAACATGGCGGACATGGCGGCTGTCTGGTTGTTTTGATCCAATTTATCTCAGAAAATACGGCATAACTCGATAAATCAGTAGCGCCCAGTAGTGCCCATGCAGTAGCGCCCAGTTACTGCGAGCAAGCCAGAGGTTTATAGATTTGTTTGAGCTATTACATGTGACGCTAGCTGTGTCGATGTTTGGATATCGAGCCAACTACACGTTGTTATGGGCAAGAATTTGAAATGGTATTCTAACCCTAGATACCGTTTCTTGGAGCTACCTGAGCCTGAGGTTGGGAGGGTTAGACGTAGAGTTAACAATCCATGCAGGCCTTTCACTACCAGTACCATTAATAAATGATCATAAATCTATATCTATTCGATACAAATTTTTAAACTAGTTGCTAGTTAACCCTTTTCCTGACTTTACTATTGGCCGAAATACCCACAAATATATCTACAACTACAATTAAGTATCTGAATTTTGAATTTGACTTTGAAATACAGATAATGCATTACATGGTGGTTGTGGTAGCATTGCTGCTGTCACTGGGTCTATCTACAACAGAAGCTGTGAGAAGAAACAAACCAGTAATCGTCTCCCTAGATGCAAAGTGGGCTTGCACATCATTCATCCTGGAAACTAGGTATGCATCTGTCTATATTATATTTAGTTCACTAGAGCGTGTTCTTGACTCACCGTTAAGCGGGGGACACAGCATGCGAATTACGCGGCGATCATATCCGCGGCGAAAATATTCGCACCCGCATGCAATCATTGAGCGGACACCATGCAAATTTATTCGCACGACTGCAGCGGACACACTGCACACGATCTACTGTCACCACACGGCTCCAACCATATGGCTCCAACAGTCATGTGGTCCCATGATTATTATACTGATCAATGATTCGCTGCATTATAACATCAGCCGGCTCAATTTTTGCTTCCACGGACACACCATGCGAATTTGTACGCAGCGGAAAAATTCGCAGTGAAAATATCAAACATGTTTGATCGCTGCGAATTTTGGTGCGGATGAAATTCGCAGCAATATTCGCCTAGCGCTTGAGCGGACACCATGCGAATTTCGCTGGGATTTTAACAATCGCTGCGGACGTGCGAATAAATTCGCATGGTGTGTCCCCCGCTTTAGATTATACAGGTCTCTAATCGCATGCTTATGTATTAGTACTGTGTAATAAATATGTACATATTAGCAAATTAAGGTGAAAAACATTTAGTGTGGAAAACATTTTATGATTGCAATTACACATTACACTGTATTGTACAGCACAGAACATGCACTATAAGAAAAACGTTTGAATTAAAATGATTATCATTGCAGTGAATTTTTGGCACATGTGAATCCTGCTACATTCTGGAAATTTGTGGATGAAGTTTCTGAAAGAGAGATATCCATTGAGAATTGTGAGTGTAGTATATATAGTATGTGTTGTTATTATATTACATAATACTTATACAGAACAACACTTAAATTTGCAATGACATTTTTACTTTATTATGAATTCCCATGTATATCTATTAGCAGTGAAAAAAATACACGGGGCTCGGGGCGATTTAGCCTCCGAAATGCCAAAAAGAGACCCCGTAAATGCCAAAAAGAGACCCCGTAAATTTGCATAGAGTTCAATGCAAACCAAATTTTAGAGTGCTATTTTCATGCACGCGAGCTTGAAAAGTAGACCTCGAAAAATAAATTATATTTTTTTCCCTGTCTATCTGTATAATGTTTATTTATTTGTCTTAGTGACAGAAAAGGAACAATATGAATTGGCATTAGAAATTGCAGGAGCCCTTCTCTCACCTGCTCAACTGAATCTGCTGAAGTTGTCATTGTCTATAAGAGAATTCTCCGCAACTATAGAAATGTATAAACAGGTAAGTTTTAAGTTGTAATTATACTGTTACCGTTACTGTCTCTGAGTTTTGACTGGTGTTATGTCGACCATTACAGTAGAAACAACACATGTTGCTTGCAACAACTCGGGGTTCAATACAGGAATGATAAGAAAATTAACTGCTAGTAAACTAAATGGTGTGAATTGTATTTTTTGCAGATTTCTAAAGACAGAGTTTTGCCAGAGGCCTGTGATGCAGTTGTAGACATCAATGGTGCATTAAGTTGTAAGCCAGCTGAGATTATCCAGATGATCGATAATGCTAAAAAGTATGTGAACCCTTAACTGTCTATAAAATTTAAATATATTGTTTATATATTGAGGATTTTAGGAAATATAGTTTAATGTAGCTAGTGTATATCACATATCCCCATGCATGTTTACACCATAATTTTATGCGAAACACTTTTGCCATATGAAAATTCAGCAATTAATTGGCAGAAGCCGATTAGTTGGAATTGGTAATTTATATATGATAAGTTTCTGTATAAAAATAATTATATTAAACTGGTGAATAGCCCTGTGTGACAATTCCATTTCAGGGAGAAACCTGCAACCTATAAAATAGATCATTACTATCCGGCTAGTGAAGAGAATGAGCCAGTCGCCATACTTTATGGAGAGCTAGGTACTCCTTCATTTAAAGATTTTCACAAAATGCTCAGACAGGCAGCAATGGATGGCTCGACTGCATATATCCTAAGACATTATACAAAGCCACAGGTATGAATTCTGAAAAAAATATCAAGACCACCTGCTTGAAAAGTTATAGGCTAAAATCGCTGAAATTCTAATAGCTTGCCTTGCACGTTCAGGCCGCGAAATTAGCACCGGCCCACCGGCATATGCCGGCAAATTATTTGGAGGGCCGGTAACATTGGCAAAAACCGGCCCTCCGAACCGGTGGTTTCAGCCGTGTTAGCGAGTACCTACAGTTTTATTTATAGCCTACTTTATTTATAGCAAATAGCCTACATTACTGTTTTACCTGAAGGATATTACGCCTTAACTTAATTATCACCATTTTACAAATTTGAAATCGAGAATGCAAGCATGAAACATGATATTGTCATTTGATTTTACAAACTAACTTAATTGTGAGGGCTAATTATGGTTAGGGCTGGTAAAAATTACTGTTACCAGCTCTCTGGGTCGGTGCAAAAAAATATGAATTTCGTTCCCTGACGTATAAAATGTAACCCGTTATAGCCAAATGCCTCGGAAGTCGCACGTATAGCTTTTACGCTATGTGTGGTTTTAACTATATAGGCATGAAATTTAGTGATTTTAACTAAAATATTTTCTATATGTTTTCTATGTTTCCTATCAAAATATCTGGGTGAAATATACATATAATATCTTTAAAATATATAATTTTGCTATTTTTTATGGAATATATCAATATATATATATTTTAAGTTAGTCACACTTTAGACTCGATTTTCTCTAATTTCTTCCGATTTTTCAAGGGTTAATTAAATAACTTCAAATATCCATAACTGTTTTTGTTTTTTTCTAATTCAAAATTTTTGGACCAATATGACGATAAAAGACAGCAGAACATCACCATATATGGTTACCTGGAAATTGAAAAATTGTTCCCAAGTGACTCATTTGGCTATAATCGGTCACAAATATCATAAGGGTATGCGGTTGTGCCCATCATTTGCTAATTTTATTCAGTGTTTCCCCTGGCCAAAAAAGTCTGTGAGGTGGTAATTTTTTTAGCTCAGCTGACGAAGTCGGATGCAGCTTGTAGAATCGCACGATTGTCCGTCTGTCCGTGCGTCCGTCCGGCCGTCCGTGCATCCGTCAACAGTTGGGCACAAATCTTAACTGCTCGACGTATGGTCTTGATATTCGGGACGTCGAGGGGGATCGCGAAAAGGACTTGGGATGTCGAATTTGGGGGTCAATGGTCAAAGGTCAAGATGTGTCAATGGAGGAGGAATATTTCCCCCTTAACTTAAGGTATAGGAGGAAATACGGAATTGCGGCACAAATCTCAACGACTCGACCTACGCTCTTAATATTCAATGTATAGTGTGATGGGGAGGAAACCCATCACCAGCGTGAAATTGGAGGTCACAGGTCAAAAGGTTAGATATCAGACATTTTCTGAGGACATGATCTAATGGACCGAGTGCAAAACCATTTTTATCACTTTATTGAAAGGACCATGAAATCTAGTTTCCGCTGACGTGTGAAGAGTAAGTGTCTGATAACCTTTTGACCCTCAAGAGGAGGGTTAAACATGGATTTGTTGACTGTTAACAAAGGACTGAACTGCTTTTGCTATTAGAGCACCCTCCTATCTTAAAGCTTAATCAACGCGGTGGCGGGAGGGCGCACTTGATTCGGTTGCCAGTGAGTTTATCAGAAGAATACCCGGCTACAGTACACGTCAGTTGAGCGCTGTCGCTCTGCGGCACTTGTTTGGAGTGTTTGCACGTTTCGTGGTCCTCGCCCAGCTAGGGGGGTCCGGAAAATTTTTGAAACAATAGTGCAATTTGGTGCATTCTAAGCTATTTTGAACACATTGTATGAGCCTTTCCAACAGTGATTTTCTTTTTAACAGTGAATTTCATCAGCAAGGCAATGTTTTGGTCAAATTTCTTTGTGGCGGCTGAGAATATGACTAGCGAGGCGGCCCGCCTCACTTGTGTCAAATTAATGCAGGGGAAACACTGATATTTATGTTTCTGTGAATTTGAACTTTTCAAACAGAATGAGGCTCCCAAAAAAACTAGGCTGGCTGGATATGGGGTAGAACTGGATATCAAAAGTACAGAGTACAAAGCACAAGATGACACAAAAGTAGAGGGTATGTGTAGATAGATACTAGTAATCATATTACAATACATACACATTGAATATAGTTATTTCAAAAGCACCATGATTTGTATTTTTTCATGTTAAATATAAATTATGAAAAGTATTAATATGCTCAGTTATGTTAATTAGCATTTAGTATTCAGTTCATTTATATAGCATGTAACCGGTGAGGTGTCGGGATTTATGATGTATCTTATGCTGGCATATTTGTACGTTTTCTGTCCTTTTATGTGACTGTACTATAAATATGTTTATTGTGTTTGTTATAGGAGAGGAAACAGCAGAAGATGAAGATGAAGATGAGGAAGAAGATGTTGAGGGATTCATATTTTCTAAGTTGAAGTATGAATCATTAAGTTTGTTCGCAGTATCATACCTAAATACTTATGACGTTTGATGCCATGTTATTACACACATAATTATGGAAATGTATTTTCATTGTGTAGTAGTCTAGATGCAATGCATTAATTATCACGTGCATGCATTGTCGTGCATAATTGTCGTGCAATGTCGTGCATTATTGTCATGCATTATCACGTGCATAAATGTCTTAAATTGAGTTTTTACATTGGTTGTAGTAGGCATACATGTATTTCACAGGAGTTTACATCCAGAGAGGAAAGATGACCTAGCTAAGTTGAAATCACACCTGATAGAATCAAATCTGCAGATGGCACCACTAAAGGTTTGGCAGCTCCAAGGTATATTTTTGCAACTATAATTTTTATTGCATACCTCACACCCCGGGGGGGGGGCACTCCCATTATTGGCACAGGGTTATCTAGATACACACCCATCAAGTTGATATTGGATCAATATTGGCAAAACAATATTGGCACAATATCACCAGGCCAATATTGGACCAATATAGGCAGATATTGGTTCAATATAGACAGATATTGGTCCAATACTGGCAAAACAATATTGGGCCAATATCACCAGGCCGATATTGGACCAATATCTGCCTATATATTGACAGGACAGGACATGACCGACCGGTTTTCAAGGTCCCGAGGCACCCCTACCCAGTTCCGAGGCGAGTGCCCCCCCCCCCGAGTTCACACCTCACCCGATATGTGAATGATCCTTGTTTTGTTATTATGCTACTAGCTGGCACTAATACATATACCTGTAATCTGGTAATTACTGACTGTTAATGTTGGACTGTTTATCTTACATTTTAAATTATCAGTTCATACTGACAGTTATTGAGCACTAGATGGGCCATGTGATTCAGTTGTGGCTGCTATTTCATCGAAGAACACTGTTTATAGGGGAAAATATTGATTTGATCAAGAAACCTTTATACTGATGATGGAGGGAGTGTTATTTCTGTGATGCTAGTAATAAGTATCTAACAAGTATATGCAACAGTTATATCTTATTTTGATGGAAATGGGACTGAGAGTGGCACCATAATAGCCCTTTTGCTTCTTTCCCCTTTCAGATCTGAGCTTTCAGGCAGCACAGACAGTGTTGTCCTCTCCAAAGGAAGAAGCTCTCACTATGCTACGTAGCATCAGTCAGAATTTTCCGACAGTGGCACGTTCTCTGGTCAGGACCCAGGTGCCTGCCCAACTGAAGAATGAAGTTAAGGAGAACCAGCAGGTATATATAGCTACAATCGATGCATCTTGTCATTTTAATTGTTTAAAGCTTCATCCAGAAATCTTATCAAAATGGATTTTTTTTACAATCTAACATCGTAACTAATGTTGTGACTCAATTCAAAATTTGTAATTAATCTGCCGCATGCATTTTGCAGAGCTTTGAAAACTACCATGGCATCATGCCAGGAGATTCAGCGATGTTTCTCAATGGACTCTCACTAGACCTCGAAGTTGTTGACATATTCACGATCCAGGATGTACTGCGTGATGAGCTATACACGATGGAGGGTCTGTGGGCTCTAGGACTTAGAGTGAGCATTCAGTCAATATATCGTATTAGTAGTAGAAAAATAGTATTGGTGGACCACCCACCCCCCACTGTATCTAAGTATCTAGGTGTTAGATATAGGTCTCGGGCAATAATATATGTATATATATATATATATATATATATATATATATATATATATA